GCCCTTGTAGAAAGTGTGGTTTTAAGAAGTTGAAGATAAGGGATGAGGTGTTTGCCGACTTGTTACGTAGTCCCTTTCCCATTGAATACACGGTTTGGTATCGTCATGGGGAATCACGTTTAGGAGAATCCTCCCAAAGCTTACCTATTCTAGGAGAGGAGGTGCATTGCAATGCGAATCCAATGATCAACTTGGTAACGGATGCATTTAGGGCTCATGGAGATTATACTTTTGAAGATACTTCCCCTCCGCATGAACCTTTGTTTGAAGATGATATGATGTCAGACTTGAATGAAGAGTCAAATGTTGAGGTTAAAAGGTTTTGCCAACTTTTGAAAGATGGGGAAGAAGTATTGTATCCAGGATGCAAAAAGTTCACAAAATTATCATTCTTGATAAGACTGTATAACATTAAGTCTTTGTGTAGAATCACTGACAAAGCTATGTCTATGCTTATTGACTTGTTGAGTGATGCTTTCGAGTTTGCAAACATTCCCAAATCAGAATACGAGGCAAAAAAAGTCATGAGGACTCTTGGACTTTCTTATACTGAGATACATGCTTGTCCTAAGGATTGTATGTTATATTGGGGAAGTGATGCTAATAGGAAGAGTTGTAAGGTTTGCGGGAGGTCTAGATACAAGTTGATGAAGAATGATCGAGTTGGTGATAAAAAGAGGAAAGAGCAAGCAGCCAAGATTTTTCGCTATTTCCCCTTAATACCTCGTTTGCAGAGGTTATTTGCTTGTTCCAAGACTGCTGAAAATATGGTTTGGCACTCAAAAGACAAAAAAAATGATGGAATAGCAAGGCATCCAAGAGATTCAGAGGCTTGGAAGAACTTTGATGTGAGATATCCCGATTTTGCTTCGGACCCTCGAAATGTGCGACTCGGTCTTGCTAGTGATGGATTCAACCCCAATGGGTCATTGGGTAACAATTACAGCATATGGCCCATTGTTCTAATCCCTTATAACAATCCTCCTTGGCTGTGTATGAAGCAAACTAACTTCATTCTTTCAGGTATCATCCCAGGGAAAAAGATGCCAGGAAATGATATAGATGTTTATATGCAACCAATGATTGAAGAGTTGAAGACCTTATGGGAGGAAGGAGTGGAGACTTATGATGCTTCAAAAAATGAAGTGTTCAAGTTGCGTGCAACTCTTATGTGGACAGTTAGTGATTTCCCCGCCCTTGGAAATCTAACTGGGTGGAACATATATACAGGTTTGGCTTGTCCAACCTGTAATTTTGATGCACGTCCTCTTCGTCTTCCATGTAGTAAAAAATGGTGCTTCATGGGCAGTCGTCGCTTTTTGGATAAAGGCCACAAATTTCGCCTTAATAGGGTTCAATTTGATGGACATATTGAAGATAGGGATCCACCAAAACGTATGTCAGGATCAGAGATTTTGAAACAAGTAGAGCATGTTCATGTTACATTTGGTAAGCATACAAGTGGTAGAAAAAGAAACCGTGCTGACTTGCCTGAACAATGGAAGAAGAAGAGTATATTTTTTCAACTTTCATATTGGGAGTTCAATCTGCTTCGTCACAATTTGGATGTTATGCATATAGAGAAGAATGTATGCGATAACATCATATATACTCTGCTTAATGACAAAGATAAAAGAAAGGATCATTTGAATGCTCGAAAGGATCTAATTGAATTGAATATTAGAGGTGAACTTTGGCCAAAAGAGGATGGAAAGACATGTCCTGCAGCTTTATTCACATTGAAGAAGCAAGAGATCGATGTTATGCTTGAGACATTGAAAGATATATCTGTGCCAGACGGTTATTCTAGCAACATTTCTGAATGTGTAGATTTATCTGCACGTAAGTTATCTGGTCTGAAAAGTCATGACTCACATGTTCTTCTACAAGATTTCTTACCTTTGGCAGTAAGGAATATCATGCCTATACAAGTGTCTTCACCATTGGTTGAACTCTCATCTTGTTTCAAACTCATATGTTCAAAGATGGTAAACACTTCAGAGCTAGATAATCTTCAAAAACGAATTTCTCTATGCTTGTGTCACTTGGAAATGTTTTTCCCACCATCATTCTTTACTGTCATGGTTCACCTTGTAATCCATTTGGTTGAAGAACTCCGACTCGGCGGACCGGTCCATTATAGATGGATGTATCCTATAGAAAGGTCAAATATCTTCTTTCAATCAACATAATTCTTTCTGTCATCCTGTTTATTCTTGTACATTGGATGAATGGTGGAGTATGGTTTTTCCCTCTTTGAAGTTGGTTTTACTAGTATTACCTACTGCTACCTACACTGATTATTTTACATTCTGCTCATCATATCTTTTTATTAGGTTCCTGGGAAATTTGAAGTCACACGTTGGCAATAAAGCACGTCCTGAAGGCTCGATTGCTGAATGGTGGAGATCTGAAGAAATTATTTCATTTGCTTCATTGTATCTTGAAATGGGAGTTGAAGAAAGGTTCAATCGAGGAAGGCGTGTCAATGATAAGCTGGATGACTCACTTCAGTTATCTTCTTCTCTCTTCCCGTGCATAGGGAAACCAGTTGGTGGTGCACAACCTTTTAACTTAAGTGACTCTGAAATTTTGCAAGCAAGTAGACATGTTCTGATTAATTGCACAGCTGCAAACCGCTTCATCCAGTAAGTTTCTTGTCATCGTCTCCCCCATGGTATAATTGTTGTAAGGGATTTCGTTTCATCCAGCTCTAAACTATAGTGGTGTAAATACAGAGTGATTTTTGAAGATCATACCCTTTCTTATGCAGGGAATTTAGAGACATAACCAAGAAGAAGTTACGAAATCGGACAAGGTCAGCAAATGAAATAGATAAAGCAGCTGCTGGTGCTTATGCTTTGATAGATAATATAGGTAGAGGCAGGATCTAAACTAATATTTTTGGTGAACATTGGTGTAGGAAAAAATTGCTGAACTTGAAGCAACAGGTGCTATGCCAAAGCAAGCAGCACCTAATGATTCTTTAGGCCAAGTTTTGGGCAAAGAACATTCAGGTAGGATGCGTGGTATGGGGGCTGGTGTTGTTCCGTCTGAGTCCTTTGGTTCTAGCTCGTCTGAATATGTCGGAGAATCATCACATGCTGATTTTGGAAGTGAGCAAATTTTGTGGTCTAAGTTACAACAAAGCTTGAAGAAGAATGAGAAGTATGAAGAGTGGTTTGTCAAGATTTTTCAGCACATGAATGTCCCTATGCCATTGGAGCTGGCTATGTTAGTAGAACAAGTAAGTTGTTATTTTGAATGTAAGAACATTCAGAGGAAATTGTGAGTTTATGCCTTTTAACTGATTTTTTGTTGTATATTTTTCACTTTTCAGCATCCTCTTGACTCCACTGGTCAGCATTCTGGCCACTCTTCGACTAGCGGTCCGAGACAGCAGGAGTAGCACTCCTTAACAGGTACTACTGACTCAAGAAATTGAGGGAAAAAGGCTTTTTTCTTCTTAAATGAGTGCATTACGAAAGCAAGCTCAGCTTCTTCAGCCATCCGAATAGCTTCAGTTTCGATACCACTCCAACCTAGGCAAAATGATCAGTGAAGACTAATCTCATGTTCGTTTTTCTCTTTCTGGTGTTTCAGGATTTTGTTCTTCATTCAACAAACCTCCTGTCATGAAAGGTTAGCATCTAGTTCTTGGATTTCGCTTATCTGAACCAAAATTTCGGCTGTTTCTTTTATGAGATCCTAGTCCTTAAGCTGTGCTAGGAATAAAGGGGTAGAAAAGGGTGATGCAGAAGTTGCAAGTTAATGAGAACTTAGTTTGAAATGATCTGTAATTATGGATTTGTGACTGGATCTTTGTTGTTGTTTTGTTGATTTACAGGGCTGCAAGTTGATGAAGGGCTGCAGGGGTAAACTCAGTTTTTAGTTTGAAATAGTATTGAACTTTAGATTGTAGGCTTTGAACTTTTGTAAGTGGTTTGACTGATTTACAATTCTGGATTTGAGGGATTTGATGGTACTTTTGTAAGGATTGATGGTTTGATTTACAATTCAAAGGGCTATGAATGGATTTACAATTCTTGATTTGTGATTATTAGAGTAGTGTATTGATGATTTGATGTTTAGAAAATGATTTGTGATCATTAGAGTACTCGAAAATCACAGCAGGTTAGGGCTGTTATTATTAGGGAAGGTGGCCCCTTAAAATACTGTAGCTTTTAGCGACGGTTTCTAACTTTTAGTGACGGTCGGATACTGTCGCTAAATAATTTTAACAATTGCAGGGTCATTTATTTGACGACGGTTGTCAGGAAAATTACGTCGGTTACCACCGTCGTTAAACTTTGGCGACGGTCAGGGCGACGGTCGACCAAAACCGTCGCTATAAAATTTAAGGACGGCGAGGTCAGCGACGGTTGGCTGTCCGTCATTAAATATTTTAGCGACGGTTTTGACCGTCGCTAAAAGTCCGTTTAACTGTCGCTAAATCACTGTTTTGTTGTAGTGCAAATAGAATTTGTGTCATAAGGTTATGGTACATACTCAGTTTGTACTATAAAAAAATTATAAATAATAGAAATACAAGTTAATTTTGTATCATAACGAATTGATTTGTATACAAGTCTACAACAAACTTTCTTTTTAATTGAAAGTACCCATATTAATGAGCATAGTAGCCAACTGGGCTGTAACTGACTGAATTTGAGATATCCATTCTTTTTCTTCTTTCACATCTTTGAATAATGCATCTAACGTACTACCACACATTAACATTCACGTACTCTTCTTAATAATTCAACACACACACAGAGGCGAGATTCCGGTCCGCAAGCGAAGGTACTTACTTATAGGTTTACCGACTCCTAACTTCGAAAACTAATTAATGAAAAAAAGCTTTTACAGTTCGGCCGAACACAATGCTCTCGATCAGCCCACATTCAGGATTCTTGAATGCCATTTATGATCGTAAAAAAAAGCTTATTACTTACGTTCTAACACATATAAATACAGGAAACTCAACCAGATCGCGGCTCCAACTTAAGTTCAATAGCAACACTAACAACTCCCCAATCCTTTACCTTCTACCTTTAGTTATGGCTGCCAGTATCGTGAGAGCATCATTGAACAAATTCAGCTGGTTTGTCGTTTTGGCAATGGCTCTCCACCATCATATCTGTTCAGAAGCCATTGCCCAGCAAGTTCCATGCTTCTTCATTTTTGGCGACTCTCTTATGGACAACGGGAACAACCACCAACTCAAAACTGTGGCTAGAGCCGATTACCCGCCTTACGGGATAGACTTCCCCGGCGGCCCTTCTGGCCGGTTCTGCAACGGCAGAACCCCCGCTGATGTTCTTGGTATGGATCATATTTGCACCCTAGCTACTTCCAAACTTTGTTATGCACACATTGCTTGAAAAATTTGTAACATGCAGGTTCTCTGGTTTCTGTCTTTAATTATGTCATAAATAAGTTAGTACCAATAACTCGAGTTGTTGGGAGAATGTTATTATGAATTTTATATCATTCTTTTACACGTTCCCTCAAACAAAAATCAACTCGCTGGCTTGAAGTTTGCACGGCCCACCATACTTTGTGCTTTAATCAACTGTTAATATTGGAGGTTGTGAAGATTCGAACATGACCACTTGGCCAAACCAGCTCTAATACCATGTCATAAACCAGTTAGTCCCTAATAACTCTGAGTTGTTGGAAAAAGTTTATTATGAATCTTATATCACTCTCTTGCGAATTATACAGCTGAGCTACTGGGATTCGACCATTACATGCCTCCCTTTACTGTTGCCAGCGGGTTGGAGGTACTGAAGGGAGTGAACTACGCATCGGCGGCTGCCGGCATACGGGAGGACTCCGGGGAGGAACTGGGAGGAAGGATACCCTTCGGCGGCCAAGTGGAGAACTACAAGAAAACGGTGTCGCAGATAGAGACGTTACTTGGAGATGAAGTCACCGCGGCCAAGCACTTGAGCAAGTGCATTCACTCGGTTCTGATGGGTAACAACGACTACATCAACAACTATTTCCTGCCAGAGTTTTTCTCCACGGCGCAGCAGTTCACCCCGGTGCAGTATGCCGACGACCTCATCCGGAGATACAACAAGCAACTCAAGGTGCGGTCGACACTCTCCAAATCTATCTTACTTGTTGGTGGGAAATCAGAAATCGGTGGAAACTGTTATATATGTATTATTCCTGAAATCACATAGAGTTTATTTAGAGTAAAAAGACTGACTCCTATAATAATTCGAACACTAATACGGAAATTATCCAAGTACTTCTATTACTCTGATAAGGAAATAGTACTCGTAGTATAACACAATACTACTAAACTACTCAGGTTATGTATAGCTATGGCGCTAGGAAGTTCGCGTTGCAAGGGTTGGGACAGATTGGGTGTGCCCCTTTTAAACTGGATGGTCCGAATGGAACAGCCTGTGTGCAGAACATCAACGATGCGGTTCAGATCTTCAACCGCAAGCTGAAATTGCTGGTTGATCAGTTGAACCAGGACACCCCGGATGCTAAGTTTATCTACCTTGACACCTATGGGATTTTCAAAGAACTGCTCGACAACCCAGTACCCAAGGGTATTTAAACCCTAGCGGGCCTTTTTTTTCTATACTGCACCACGAGCTCCGTACAGAAACATAGTAGTGAACGTGTTGTTTTGGTTTTTGATGTTTGTTTCAGGGTTCACGATGACGAATGAGGCGTGTTGCGGGGTGGGGAAGAACAATGCTCTGCTTACATGTCTACCGTTTCAAACTCCATGCGAGAATAGGAATCAATACTTGTTCTGGGATTCGTTCCACACGACGGATGCGGCCAACGAATATGTGTCGAGGAGGAGTTATAGGGCCGAGTCGCCAAGTGATGCTCATCCCTACGACATTAGCCGCCTCGCACAAGTCTGATGGGATTCTCTGGACATGGAGATCAGCTCTTCATTTGTAACTGTAGTGCCCTCGTATGGTTAGAAATTTCACTTTGCTTAAGTTCATCCGAACCGGTTTGTTGTTTGAAATCTTGACAGTCGGTTGTTATGGAAATAAATTTAGATCTAAGGAATATGATAAAGACTTTTTCATTTAATGCTTGGCTAAGAAGCTTGTAGTTGATTGTTATGGAAACGAATCTAAATTTAAAGAATATGATAGAGGCTTTCCTATTTAATGCTTGACATATTCACAAATTTTCTTTATCTTATGCTTCCACGTCAGATAATCTTTAAAAAAAGAGGATGGTTTTTGGTAAGTGAACTGCTATTTGCTGTCACTGAATTGCTATTTGTCGCCAACTACAAATTTTTTTTTTTTAATTTTCCCTCTCTTTCATTATATAAATTTGATTTCCAATAACATTTGCCTCATTCTTACAAAAACTCTGTCGCTGAGCCCAGTGCCTCCGTTGCCGGCACCGTTCCTTCGTCGTCGGCGATCGTCGAAAAACAGATAAGTTTCAACTTCCGGCAAGTTTTTCAGTTTTTCGGCGAGATTGATGGTGGGCCGAAAGAATCGTGCGGCCGGAGAGCCGTCGGGCCGAACGATATTTACGACCAGGTGGGGAGCCGGTCGAAAAAATTGTTTAGCCCGACCGTCGAAAAAGCCGCTAGGAAAATTTCGGCTGGCATCGACCAGGTCGGGCCGAAAGAATCATGAGGCCGGAGCGCCACTGGGCCGAACAATTTTTTGGCCCGACGGCACCCCGCCGAAATTTCCTCTAGGGTGAAATGTTTTTAATTAATTTTATATATTAATTAAATAGTCAATAGAAAATTGATTAATTAATGTTTAAATTAATTTAATATAGTAAATAATTATTTAATAAAAATTAAAATTAATTAGTGATCAATTTAACAATTATTGTTAATATTCATGTACATTAGTTAATAAAAAATTAATAATTAGTGCTAATATTTAGTGAAACTGGTTTATGAAACCAGGGTGCTGCATCGAGGGTGGTCTCAACCGAGTTTGATGATTAGTACGATCCTGATGAGGATACACAGGTCCCTCTAGCTGTGCGTGGACGTGGACAAGGGCCATCTTCTACGACAACATCACGTCTTGCTATGTACAGTGACCGAGCTGGGCGGTTTGCACCACCTGCTCAGGACGAGATAGAGAGCTCAAGGACTGACCGTGTGAGCTTGTTTGTGAGTGTCCTGGTGGACCTATGGATCCTAGCCTCATTAGGAGCTTCCGTGGCCACACTGCCTATGCGCTTTGGACGGGGATTGGAGACCGAGGGGTCATCAGTTGCTACAGTCGTACATCGGCGGTTGTCTATCTGTAGAACTACGTGTTTAGACATATTGAGGCGGAAGATCTAGTTCAGCAGTCAGGTCTCCTACACTTGATCTACTCTATGTTCCGCAAGATATCGATTGACAAGGCTTTGATCTCAACTTTTATGGAGAGGTGGCAGTCAGACACGAACACCTTCCACTTTCCTTTTGGAGAGATGACGATCCTCCTCCACAATGTTCAGTACTTACTACGGAGACCTGCTGAGGGGATGGCTAATGAGTAGGAGTTCTAAGCAGATAATAGACCATCCGGACGTGGGTTTGTGTGCGCTTCTTGGGATAAACTGGGACCAACTACACGGTCCGTCGGAGGCCTCTAGACATGGTAGTAGGGGTAAGTGGTATGAAAATGGTGGGGTTCTTGCTGAGATGGCGTCCAGATACTTGAAGGTGAACGAGATACACGAGATAGAGACGCAGTCGTACTTGTTGTTGCTGTTGGGGTCCACTTTGTTTGTGGACAAGAGCAGAGGCAGGGTTTGGCCGATGGTGAACCTATTTTTTGGAGGAGTTGGAGGAGCTAGCTGAGTATAGTTGGGTATCAGGTACACTTGCTTTGTTGTACAGACATCATGGTCAGGTGTCTCGAGCTGGTGTTAGGGGGTGGCTAGTTATCTCACACTTCTACAGTGTTGGATCTACGAGTACTTTCCGAGTTTCAGGCCATCTCACTTTGAGCCAGCCGTCGTTGGACCTGATGAGGCTTGGATTTCACGATGGATTGGGCAGCCGGTACCTGGTTCTGTGGCTGATCCCAGTGTGAGGTTGGCGTTCTACCGTCGAGCTCTTGACAGCTTGACCCCTTCTGATGTGGCTTGGGCACCTTTCCATCAGAGGCCTCATTAGGTAGTCCGTTGCTCTTTGTACATTGGAGTGATCCGGTTCGTTGATATAAGCGAGTTCTACGATCCAGCCCATTGCCTCCGATAGTTTGTATACCGACAGATGGTACCGCGGCCCCAACGAGCAGACCCACCAAAGACACCTGGTGGATATGTCATTCGGATTCCTAAGAGTTTCGATGCTTCATGGAATGCTCTGCTATCCCACATGGTTCATATATATACCATATGGTATTGACTGGTATTAAATATCAGCATACCATATGGTATGAAAAATACCACCCCATACCAGGGTGATATAGTATGGTATGGAGTTGGTAACAAGAGGTATGAAATTTTTTCACCCTATAAATATTTAAAATCGAATAAATCATGATTAAATCGTTCCTTCTGTGCAAAATTTTTCTAAAACGACTAAAACACGAAAAGATACCATATGGTATAGAGTTGGTAACGAGAGGTATGGAAAAAAATTCTCAAAAAATATTGACAATGAATATCATTTTGTAGAGCACAACAAACTCGTTCCATCTGTGCAAAAAAAAAAAAATGAAATCCGAGTTACAATGAAGAAGATATGATCCAATCAAGAAAACTAGGAAAAACAAATTCCTTTAGTTCTCCACCCTCAGATCTGCAACCACTTAAAAGAATGGTCCATATTTGATTACTCATAATTATGCACCCTAAAGTTATGCACCCTATCTTGAGCCATTTATATATCATATCCATCCCATTTCTTTCTCCCCATCATCATTTTCATGACCGAGAGAAACAAAGCGCAGTTCAGGGGAGGGAAGAGGGGAAAGCAGAGCCGATTCTAGGGTTTGAGAGGGTGAAAAATCATGTAAGTATTTCCTAATCCATCTATACGTCGTAGTTTATCAATTTTGAGTCTTGAAACGAGTTTTTGGTTTAGGAATTTCTTATATTCCAGATAAGCCAAATTAGGGTTTTAGAATATCCGAAAACCGGATTGAGCCCAAATTTCATACATGAGCTTCTAGCAGCGAGGTAATTAATCCTCTTATTCTAATCCATAAATTTCGACAATCATTTACGTCGGAGTCGAAATCGCTGAATTTAGCTACAACTAGTGTTTGATGTGTTTTTATCTTGATTTTGACCCGGAGCCTAGAACTAACATTGACGGGGATACTGCAGGGGATATGAGGACAATCTCGGATTTTAATTCTGGTTTTGTTTGAGAAAAGTGAAGTTTTAGTACGGGAGGCTAAAACATGTGTTTGTACGACCAAAACTGGTGAGGGATTAGCACGGCATACCGGGTTTTGTCGTATCACGATAATTATATTGATGCTTAGAATTGACCTAGATGAACTTGAATGGCATGATTAGGGGTGTATGGACTTTTTGTGCTATATGATGAACCCTTGAGTGCTATATGGTATTATTGGCTTTCCCTAATCCTTATGGACCTTGTTTATACTGATGATTGCGTATATGTTGCAATTTGTGAGCTTGACTGTTGATATTTCTTATGATGGTTCGAGAAGGTGATTGAGTATGATTTTTCATGATGTTGTATTTGGATGCACAAGTGGGAAAATATATATCCCATGGTGATATTATGATGTTTAAGGAGGATGACTTGCATGAGGATTTATCCCGAGGAAGTGCAATTATACGACTCCTGATTTACCTATGTTGAGCCAATTGTGGCCAGGTCAAGAACATGTCCGAGTAATGAATCGTGATTAAGTAAGATGACATATGGATCATGCATAAGGATACCAAGTAAGAGTATTTTGGTCTCATGCTCAATCACATAGTAATTAGGGCTCCCCATGCTATTACTCTGTTATGACATGATAGTCATACCTCTCTTGTGGTGTTGATTGAAGATTATGAATGCATGATAGTCACACCTCTCAAGTGGTGGTGATTGAAGATTATTCACGAGATATGACCACACCTAGAGTGGTGTCGGTATGGCTTCATCTATGGTGGTATGGGGGTATGTATGTATGTATGTATGTATGATCACATCCTACATGATGTTGGGTGTGTATGGTGGCCCGTGAGAGTTAATAGCATGGGAGTAGCCAGGCGCCTATAAGTAAAACATGATAAGACGCATATGCGTAAGTCAAGGTGGTTGAGTCTTTTGCCTATTAGGATGTCGGATGGTTGAGTCTTTTGCAAGATGTATGGTAGGGGTATGATTTGTTATGAACTCACGATGCAATGATTGTCCCACTCAACTATGAGCTGGCCCTCTTTTTTCTTTTTCTCTTCTTATGCCATGTGTAAGCAGGTCATCAGCAGCAGCGCTTGGACGACTACATGGAAGTTTGGCCAGTGATCCACACCTTTTTGTAAAAATGGTTTGAGAACCTTTTCATGTTCATACTGTCTTAGGATGTAGTGTGTGGCATCCACATGTGTGTATAGTTGATAATATGTGTGTGGTGGTGTAAGTAGTGACGGTTGTGGATTTCGTAAGTATGAGATACAGTTGCAGAGTATGGATTTGTGCCTATGGATATGAAAAGCCAATGTATGTGGTTATAAGTATATGTCTATGAATGCAGGGACGCAGATAAATTATTTTTCAGGATTAGTTCCAAGAATTGTTAGCCCATTACGCGAGTCATGCATGTCAAATTTAATTGGAATATTTGATGAATTAATGTAACACCAAAGTTCAGTTCTGCTGCAATTCTATGAAGAATATGATTAGGCAATATGTACAGGGTAGGGTTTTACATAAACTCTAAATTATACTCTTAAACGCTAAATTTAACTCCTAAACTCTAAATTCAATTCTTACATGCTAAATTCAACTAATAAAAGCTAAATTTTCCGAAAAATTCCAAAGACAAATGGCGGGCCAAATAATTCCGGCGGCTGGAACTTGACCGTGTCGAAAGAATCCCCAGTCGGAACCAGGTCATGCCAACGGAAAAAGGCAGTCGGAGCCAAGTTAGGCCAAAAACTTTCTTTGGCTCAGCTTGGCTCCGCCGCAGTTTTCCGTCGGCCTGTCTTGGTTTCGGTCGCTGGAATTTTTTGGCCCGCAGTCTGTCCGTTGGAAATCGTCCGAAAAATTGTTCGAAATTACAAAAAATCAACGCACCTACTTAGTGATTATTCATGGATGCGTGTCCACAGTTTACGTCGAGGTTCGACTTTTCCGATGATTTTTCGGCGAGTTTGCCAGCGAGCGTCGATTTTTTCTGATTCAATACGTTTTCTTAAAGTTGGATATGTTGTAGGTAGTGAAACTCATTTACCTAAGATGTATATATAATCAATTTTGAATTAATTTTTTTTTTGGTTGGCGGCAATTAGCAATTTGCGTGGCGGCCTTTGGTAAATGTAAACTCTGAAATGACAGAGAACAATTAGTTAATCATATTTTTGTGGGGTGGTTCTATTTGATCTCTACTCTCCAATTTTATTTTTATTCAAGGACTGCTACAAGTTGATGTATCCAATGTCATCCAAGCGAGGCATTATTGAAACCTCGAGATCTTTAAGTTAGGACTCTTCTCGTATTCTTGCATGCTATGTGTTGGGATATCTGAAAAGAGAAAAGTCAAAGGATCTTTCGCGACAAAAATAAAACGTTATGTGAGGTTGACTATGTTATTGGGTGCTCAATAAGTTTGTGGTTATACTAGTTGTTGGTAAAGGAAACCACGAGTGTGTAGGAAGTGGATGAGGATATATTTTGACGAATAGTTTTTTATTTTATTTTATAAGGGTGATGATTATTTTGACGAATAGTTGTTTTAGGGTTCGACATCAAGAAGGAATCACGAATCAGTAGCGAAGCCACCTTAGGGATAGGGGTATAGTCGCTCTCAACTCTAAAAAGTAGTTAAAATTGCATATAAAATTTGTAATAATTTTTTAAAATAGAGTAGTTGATCCCAATTTCCACAATTCAAATCCCTTTACATTAAATGTTTTTTTATCTCTCAAGATTTCTGACTCCACTACAGTAATCATCAATATTATATTTTTTCTGGCTTGCAATAAAAGAATTTTACAGTAATTTATCAACCCCAAGTGAAACCCGCTAACAACGCCAAGCGCCCCGTCATTCAAGGGTGGCCAAAAGGACACCGAGCCTTATACCTCCTCCGCCATTGTAATCATCTATTAAGCAACACCCTCCTCCAAAAATGGAAAAGAAAAGAAAAAATAATGGCCAAATGCCATACGACACAGACACACCCCCGATAATAATGATCCTCCTCGTCTACTTGTTAGTGATGGCCTCGTCGTCCTGGTACGAGGTCGCCGCCGCCGACCCCCAAGTACCTTGCTTCTTCATCTTTGGAGATTCCCTCAACGATTGTGGCAACAACAACCACATCAACACAAAGGCAAAAGCAAATTACAAACCTTACGGCATCGATTTCCCCGATGGCGCCACCGGCCGGTTTACTAACGGCCGCACCACCGTCGATTTCCTCGGTTTATTTTCTCTTTCCCTCTCTCTCTTTCAACTCAAACCACTTTAGACTCTTTTTTTTTTTTCACTGTGTTTGAATTTGTGGGGCTTTTTTCCTTTCTTGTTGCAGCCGAACATCTGGGCTTTGATAATCCAATTCCGCCTTTCACGACCGCCAAAGGTGAAAAAATACTCCAGGGCATAAACTATGCGTCGGGCTCGGCTGGAATCCTCGACGAAACCGGCAAGCATCTGGTAATATATAACACACCATCGCTACTTCTCATGAATTTGAAATTTTTTACAATTTAAACTTTGTGTTTTTTAATATTACTCCATGCATGCGACCAAAATTCTTCTACACAAAAATTACAATTTTTATAGCTAATATAATTAAAAACGCACTTAAAAATTTACAAGTTTACGTTTTTTATTAATCAAAACACTTCTACCTAAAAACGTGTTTTTTACTACATCGCATGCAGGGACACAACGTGGCATTGGGAACACAAGTCCAGAACCACCAGATAACATTGTCGAGGATCGTGGCCAGGAAGGGCGACAACGAGACGGCAGCAGAGCACCTCAACGCTTGCGTGTACTACATGGCCATTGGAAGCAACGACTACCTGAACAACTACTTCCTCCCCGACCATTACAAAACCAGCAACGAGTTCTCCGTCGAAGAATTCGCCACTCATCTCATCTCCACTTACGGTGACAGAATCAGGGTACGTATGTAATTGGTCTGTTTAACGTACCATATTCGAACTCCGACTTGCATTGCATGTGTATGTGTTAATACGCGGTATATGATTCACGATTGAACCTCTCTTAACAACTCAGAGTTTATTGTTACGAGTTGGTTTATAACGTTACTACGTGTTGTTTCACAGTCGATGGTGAATACTTGAATGCAGACTTTGTACGGGTATGGTGCAAGGAAAATAGCCGTGGTTGGGGTGGGTAAGATCGGGTGCGTCCCTCGCACGATGGATTTGTTCGGCACAAACGGAACCAAGTGCATTCAGAACGTGAACCTAGCGGCGCAGTATTTCAACAAGCAGCTTAAGAAGCTCGTGGTCGACCTCAACAAGGAGCTAAAAGACGCGAAACTGATTTACATCAACTCCTACGGGATGGGCGATGGGGATCCCACGATTCTTGGTAATTACGAACATGAATAGTCTGTGTGCTAGCTAGATCGAAGCTATCGTACGATGACGCGATAAGGTTTTCTTTTTTTTTTTAGGTTTCAAGTACATAACGAGGGGATGCTGCAATCCGAGAGGAGATGGACAGTGTGTGAAGGACAAAGCGCCTTGTTCGAGCAGAAGAGAGTATGTGTTTTGGGATTCTTTCCATCCGACGGAGGCCAGTCACAGGGCTTTCGCTGATCGGACTTACAAATCCTTGCTCCCTTCGGATAGCGACCCGTTCGATCTCCACAGTTTGGCCGCTCTCGATATAGGCAAGCAATAACAGAACTCTAAAACCCAACTGTTTTGGATGTTTTACTACTTGCATGCAGTGTGGTCAGACTTTTAGCAGCGTGATGATTTAGTGCTTACATGATTTCGTAGTCATTATGCCATCATATTTGATAATTCAGCCTTCCATTGACAACATAATCCACTTCTATTTACTAGGATAAATTTGAACATGGATTTTAGTAAAAAATAAAATAAAAAATTAATTAGGTCTACGATTTCGACAGTATTTAGAAATCAATTGTAATTAGTGATCTACATCCACGAAGAGGAAAACACTAAAGAGAGAGATCTAGTTCATTTTTCTGAAGAGGAGTTTTGGGGTTTTTTTGCAAAGTCGATTTAATAATTTGATCTTAAAAATATATATTGTAGGTATTAAAAGTGGGAGACGTGCGGAGGAGACGAGTGGAAGCGGAAGATTTAAACATCGTAATGTAGAGTTTTTTATGGTAATTTTTTGTACTTTCTTTCTTAATAGGAAAATTTTGGATGTATTAGGGTTTTGGAAAGGTTAGTGATTCAGGATACTGATATAGTCGATTTCTAATTTTTTAATACATCTATCAACTCTTTGTTTTGATTAATTACATAGTTTAAGAGGTCACACATGCGGCAAAGCACAACGCTAACCACAATGCAGACTTTAATCCGTAGTCAGTAATTAATAATTATTGACTCATGCATAAATTTTTGAATTAAAAAATATAACACTGATTGATACATATTTTATCACCTTATACTTTGATTGTAAAGATTGATAGTAAGGGATCGTTTGGAGAATATGAGTTTAAATCTATAGATTGTCAACAATCTAAAGATTCTAACACTTCGGATTGTTGAAAATAGATTTTAAAATGTTTATTGTTTGGTAACTGTGATTGTTAACATTCAATGAAAATAAAAAATTAAATTTTATATTAAATAACATGTTTATCCTTAATAAAAAATTAGAGTGGTTCGAGAAAATATTAAAAAATTTGTTGATAAATATATTTAATATGGTAAATAAATAAAAGAAAGAGAAAAAGTAGGAGAAAAAAATCTCACGAATCAAGATATAGAATCTCTCTGATTATGAGAGATTTGATATCCGTAGATTTTAGAGATTTGAAATCTCTAAAGCTAAAATCCACAATACAAAAAACAACAAAAAAACATAACTTTTTACAAAATCTACGGATTCAATGAATCCACGCTCTAAATCCCGTTCTAAAAACGACCCCTAAATAAAATTACGATCACAATGGTATGAAATCAATAGTAATAAGAATATTTTATATTGTAAAATAGTAGTATACATAATACTAACCATCATTTATAAACTTCCACCAGTGTACGTTATAGAGCAGTACTAAAGAGTGATATATTTGATTCCAAAATTTGTTTCCAGAAATATATTGAATTATGTAGATCATAGTGTACTTTCTCTTTTTGTGCAATTTCTTTTTTTAGTTTGAGCTAAATGAAGGTGGTAACAGGTAGTTCGAAAAAATTCATCAAAATACATTTAAAAAAATGAATACAATTTTGACGAACAAAAACTTGATCTAGTGGTAATGCCACTAGCCCTGAATTGGGAAGTCATAAGTTTGAATCCATTAAGTGGTACCTAACTACAAAAGTACAAACTATAGCACTCTTATGAAAATATAATTTTATAGATAAAAATGAATCCATTTTTTCTGTTCAAAAATATTTAAAACTTCAATTACAACAAAGAAGATACAAGTCAATAAAAAAAGTAGAAAAATTAAAAGAAATCTTTTAATCTTACCCCTTGGATCTTATCCCATTTAAAACTAAGGAGTTGGATCTGATTATGCACAAATACATATAAAAGAGTGTACGAAAATAATATTATTTTCACACCCTCAAAAAAGCTCTCTCCTCTTCCTTCCCTTTTCTCTCTGAAAACTAGGGTTTTCGTCTTTCACTTCTTCAATGACGGTCGTCGCTGATGGGTCCTCGTCGGGCGCTGTTGGCGACGGTCGGTCCTGGGCCTCTCTATTCGGTGCAGCGGAGGATAACAAAATGGAGTACTTTGAGCCGGAGCTAATAAATGGTTCACTGCGAATCCCTAAATCTGTAATGGAGGAAGGGGCGAAATAGCTTGAACACACTCTAGTGGGTAAATTTCTGTGTGCACCGCCGTCGATTGCTTCGATTTATTCCTGGGCAAACTGGCTCTGGGGTCCGGATGGTGAGATACGGGTCTCTGAGTTTGAGGATCGTCTTCTTCTTTTCCAGTTCCCGTCTGAAACTGTCTTGCGTTGGGTATTTGAAGGCGACTTTGGCACTATCGGAATAATATGATATGTTTGCGGAAGTGGGTTCCGGGGATTCAGGCTCTTACGATTGACAACTCCTCCGTTCCTATCTGGGTTAAACTCTCGGGCTTACCAGCGGATTTATCTTCGAAGGAGGGTTTGGGTCGGGTTGCTAGTCTAATTGGGCGTCCGCCCTGTATGGATCAGCCAACGCGTTTCAGACAGCGAGTGGGGATAGCGAAGGTTTGTGTTGAGCTTAGTGCTAAGAAGCCACAGATTAATCGGGTTAGTATCACCCCTGACGATATGGATGAGATGTTCATTCAGGTAGAATACTGTCACTTACCTCCTGTTTGTAAATCATGTGGTGTTTTTGGTCATGATTGTGCTGCTCCCTGTTGGGTGAATGTGAAGAAGGTTTGGAGGAAGAAAACGATTACCACAGCTGTGTTAGCTAGTACTTCAAGGTCTGAGGAAGAAAATGTCCAAGTTGTTGAGCAAGTGATTGAATCTCCTCCCATCACTCCTAGTACTTTGCCATCTCAGGAAGATTTTATTTTGGTGGTTAACGGAGTGAAACCATATATTCAGGTGATATCATCCCCGATATCTCTGCCGAATTCTTTGGCTTCAATTTGTGCTAAGAATACCCAGTTGCAGGATCCTCCTTTGATTCTCCGGGAAGGTTTACGTAGTCAGAAAGGGGTGCTTAAGGCCCCTCTTCTGAAGATATGATTGTTTGAGTATGGAACACGAGGGGCTTCAACATCTCCTCAAAGCACGATTATGTGCTTCAGTATATACATAAGTATAAAGTACAAGTGTTAGCATTGCTGGAAACTAGGGTACAGAAGTGCAATGCTAAGAAGATACAAGATAAATTTTCTGATTTTATGTTTGTTGATAACTACAATGCTCATTACCTTGATAGAATTTGGATTGCCTGGCACAAGGATGTGAAGTTGATGGTCCTACACTGCAACAGTTCTTTCATACATATGTTGATTTCCATCACAGCAGCAGAACACTTCTTCTTTACTGCAGTTTATGACTTTAATGAGGAAAATGATCGATTATCTACTTACACCAGACTGAGGAAATGGCAAGTAAATGGATTTCCGTGGATGGTTTGTGGTGATTTTAACGCCATTCTAAGTCCACTGGAATCTTCTAACGTCGTTTCTATACCATCTAATATGCAGAACTTTCGTGTTTGGGTGGACTCAATGGAACTGTTGGATCATCAGTACATATGGCCTTTATTTTCTTGGTCCAACCAGCAACAAGCCAGACCTATTGCAAAGAAATTGGATCGTATGCTAGTTAATGATGATCGGTTAAGGGCACTACCAGATTCAGTGGTAGAATTCCTGGCTCCCTCTTTTTCAGACCACTGTGGCATTCTCGTTTGTCTAACAGAGCAACAGAAGTCATTCCCCAAGCCTTTCCGGTTTTATGAAATGTTGATGCAACATGAGACATATAATGATCTGTTGACTATTGTTTGGAATAATCCTGGACAGGGACCTATTATTCAGCAAGTACTAAATAGATTGAAGAAGCTGAAGTTGGCGCTCAAATCTCTTAACCATGAGGAATTTTTAGACATATCGAGTTGGGTTAAGCAGTCTGAGCAGGATATGAAAGAGAAGCAGATAAATGCTTTGCAAAATCCTTCCGAGGAGTTGTTTGATGCCATGAAGCAATCTATAGCTCTTTACTAGAGATAAAAGTGTGATGAGGAAAGTTTTTAGTGAGAAGATCTAGAAAGCATATTCAACGACTTATACTAGATTCAGGAGAAATTGTGACTGATGTTGAACGGATTGCGCAAGAATCTGTCTCCTTTTATCAAACACTTTATGGAAAGAAGAATGAAGAAATCACAGTGGCTTTGAATTCAGTGTTGCCTCTCCTGCGATCTCACCTATTAGATGTTGATCGGTTATCTCTATGTCGAGAGGTTTCTGCTAGTGAAATCAAAGATGCTTTATTCTCTATGGATGCTCACAAGGCACCTAGGCCAGATGGGTGGCCAGCTAGTTTCTTTCAGCACAGTTGGGGGCTTCTTGGTCCAGACATTACTGAGGGAATCAAGGAATTCTTTCACTCAGGAAAATTGCCAAAAGGTCTTAACTCTGCTTCCCTGACTTTGGCTCCTAAAGTACCTAATGCAGATAGGTTACTAGCTTTCCGACCTATTGGCTGCATCAATATTATTTACAAAATCATTGCGAAGGTGTTAGCCAATAGGTTGCAGCAAGTATTGCCTAGTGTCATAAGTATGAACCAATCTGCGTTTATCAAAGGGCGTAGTATTCTAGATAACATTCTTATGGCTCAAGAAATGGTACAAGGATACTCTAAGCGCAACCTCTCATCTAAAGCTGCTACTAAAATTGATTTGCACAAAGCATTCGATTCAGTTTATTGGGACTATCTATTCCGTGTGATGGAGGGGATGAGATTTCCTCCAATGTATCTTCAATGTATAAAAGCTTCCCTCTCTTCTGCCTACTTCAGTGTGACTATCCATGGCTCACTTTTTGGTTTCTTTGCTGCTAAGAAGGGTGTTAGACAGGGAGACCCATTGTCTCCTTATCTATTCACCATTGCTCTTGAACCTTTATCATGTATGCTTAATGTTGCAGCTTCCTCTGGCTCTATCCCTTATCATCCTCAATGCAAAGCCATAAAATTGACCCATCTCAGCTTCGCAGAT